ACTCTTTCCTTTAAGGATGATGTTGCTAATATATCAACAACCATCTGTTTGGATGTGTTTCTTGAATCATGTCTTGAACTTCAGGCAGATGTCTATCTTTAGAGTAGGATAGTAAATATAAAGAAATACATATATACAGACAGGATGCACATTTTCAAATATGAGGAATTGCTGATGTAATCATTAGCTGTGCCAGTGATTTACACATGCCAGTACTTATAAGTGTGCTGAAAGTGTCAAAACCATCAAATTTTGCTTGAAGTACTCATGATTTAAAAGTTTTTATTGTCATTTTCTGCGTGTGCTTTGTGAGGAGCAAGTTCAAATTCTTGTCGATAAGAAGGCAACTAGTGCTAATTGCATAAGAATGAATGCAGAAGTTTGCGTATGTGCTGAAAGCAGCTTCTATGTGCTGGTGCTACTGTACAATACGTCCTCCTTGAAAGGAATGTCATTACAAAGTCAAGAGTGAGCATTCTTTTTTTTTTTTATTGTTTCAGCCTTAATAAAATCAGATTTGCGAAGGCACAATCTGAATTCAGGGATTATGAATGTGGACATTAAAGCTGTAAGTGGTGAATCTTTTCCCTTGATTATATTATTGTACTTGAATACTTGGGTTCTATTAGCATAATAATATTAACAGCAAAAGAGTAATTGACAGGAACCTATAATGTGACTGTTTCCTTGATGTGCTGAAACAACAGAGTCACCCAGGACCCTACCCTCAGATATCTGTTTCTTCCGTAAGCTCCCATGAAAAATCTAAAAGACCTTTTGCTCTCAATTTTTCTGAGTTTTAAGTTTTTTTTTTTTGACTCTAGCTCTTTCACATTTGCGGTTAGCATTGTAAATTGTGAAGCATTTTTGTGTGTTGGGTTAGGGAGGTCATGCTATACACTACACATTTTATTTAAAACAGTGGCATCCCTTTAAGTCAAGTCAGGGTGTAACGAACAAAGGTCATGCTGCAGTTTTTATCCTATATTTCATGAAATGCTGAGTCCGTTCTTCTGCTGAGCACCCTCTAACTTTAAAGGGAGAGTAAGCGTTCCATTTTCTGCTGTTCAGGAGATCCCAAGACCATCTTTCAGCAGATTTTCTGTATTGTCACAGTCACAAGTAGAAATAAGGCTTTTGAACATTTGACATTTGAAACTCCTTTCTATCCCGTGGTTTTCCTGACCATCTGAAGCAAGATAACGAAAACAGCTTAGTGAAGCCAGGTATCGTAAGATCCTCTGTCACATCATTCTTTGGGTCTGTGTAGCAGCCTCTGGTTACCTGTGATCAGGCTGCACACACTGGTAGTGTCTGCAGAAGGGTCAGAAAATTCCAAGCCGGTACCTTATGAGCTACCTTGAACCTGAAACGTGTACAGCGGTGTTTGCACAGTATTGTATTCTTTGAATATATCGGCTTGGGTCCGGGCTATCCTGGGGATGTACGTGCTGACTGTAGGCAGTGGTCTGCGATTGTTCTCTTTTCCGTTATCAGCTTGTTAATTAGGTTAATGTCACACAATACTGTTTAACCAGGTTAAAAAAAAAAAAGCGTGGAGTCCTCACCTCTACATCATCATAAATAATTGAGAGCTCGCTGTATTAATAGGTGCAATCAAAATTTGATTTCAGACCTTGATCACCAAGATTCTGCTGTATTTAAATGCAATGGAGAAAAAAAAGAAGGTTAATCTCCATGTGATGATCAGTATCTATATGCGGTAAATATGTGTTTTAGAGCAATACCAAGAAACTCAGTTCTGTATTCTCTTGTAGCTGTAGAGAGAAGATGGGAGAACATGGCTTTCATTAAGTGCCTAACTCAACTAGTTGACCACATATACTAGTGTAGTCTAATTAACCTAGACTTACCCAAGAATACTGAGGGTAGGAATAGCTTCCGCCATGTAGCAGCTTAACTCCTGTTTATTTGTTTATTTTACAGGTGCCAGTTGACAGTCCTGGAGAGCATGAAACTTGTAATACATTAAAAATGCAGTCAGCTTTGTGAGGCTGAAAGAAGGTGACTTGGAAACGCACAATTTTGGTTGAACACTGAACAATACTAATTAGTATAATCACTGGATTTGTATGTATATGAGTAGTAAAATGTGTTTGTTAGATATTGGTGATATTTGTGCAGTGGAAACTGTGAAGATGCCCAGTTCATTTTGCCCAAGACCAACAATTTACCCTCATATGGAATGTTCATCCTAGCAGTTTCCAACTTTTGTAGTTTCTCTAGTAAAGAACTGTCTGAGTGCTCTCCTGGGAGAAACATGCATTCAGGGTACACACAGGAAAATCTGGAGTACTAAAGAACAATCATATCAGAAATACCTAATCTTTTTTTTTTTTGTTTTCCAAGAAATCAAGAGTTAGTTAATTTCTTAATCAGATTTTCTTGTGCATTTGAAAAGTCAGAGAGTAGATAGCTGCACAACTGGAGGATATTAATACTTCTATTTTTTTATTTTTTATTATATCTGATATAAACTTACTGTTTGTTCTGGGAAACTTTGTCTATAGCACAATACTGAAAATAAGAGATGGCTGCAGTCATGAATATTTCATACTGGCATCTGACATTTCTGTTGCCTTGAAACTTCTTGGTAGATACCAGAAAGCACATAAGAGAGAGTGCTTTCTTATAGATTCATCATAACTTTTGGGGGGATATCTAACGAGTTTCCCGCTAGACAAATTGAAGAGGAGTTTCTCATAAAAGGAAAGAATAAGACCTTTGATAGTTCTACTGTGGAGTGTTTCTAGGCAATGGAAAGCTACCACTCAGATTGCCTCTACAGAATATTTTGAGTGCTTTCTCAGTTTAAGTGAGAGGAGTATGTGTTTACAAAGAGATGGTGCCTTTACTTTGTAAAGAAGATCCTTGCCCCATCTTAAGTTTAATTAGTGCTGCTGAAGAAATTCCTTTCTGCATGTTTAACCTCCTCTGAATATTTGTGGACCATCAGCAAACGTGCTCTATCTTTTTGGCATTTATTTCTCTGCATTATGAATTGTATCATCTGTGTCTTGCAAAATTTTTGTGCTCATCACATAACTTAGAAGAAAGTCATGTCTTATCTTTCACAGTTTGTTTAAAGCTGTAAAGATGACTGAAAGGAAAGCAATGGTGCTTCACTTCATCTGATGGGATATTTGCTGTTTATATCATGCACCTTAGCTACCAAAGGAGTGGACTTCATTAACATTCACCTTGTGTTATTACAGTTATCTGAAATTGGGGTGTGGGCTTCTCCCAGCAGTACTTCTGCAAATGTTGTGCTTTATCTACACAATTACAGAGTTGATAGCAACACAATAATGCTGAGGCCTTGCTATTACTGAGAAGTCAAACCTGAGTTAGCTGACTTTTTGCAAACGTTTCTTAGCAGAAGAAAAGTGAAAGTTCCCACAGTATTTGTGAAGCTGCCCCTTGGTAACTGTGGGTGGCTTTTGCTTTTGGAGAATAGTAATAGTATGTGCCAATTTATATCTTTCTTCCCTAAACACAGATTCAGTACAGCAGTTATTGTGTTCCTGGCCCAAGGTTGCTATGTATTTCCCCTATTACAAGCCTTTAGCAAGACCTTCTCTCTGCGGTTTTGGGGAAGTATTTCCTAAATATCCAGTGGAAAGTCTTTGACACTATTCATAATGCTTTCTAAATGTCTAGTACACACTATTCAACTTCCAAGACTCATTTCCCCCCCTATTTTTTATTTTTAAATTCCTTTCCCTGCTACTAGTTCCCATTTTCTTTGGTGTTTATAAGAAAGTTGACTCCTTCCTTCTGGTGTTCAGTTCATTATTGAAAAATGCTCTAGCCCTGCTGGCTCCTTGTAATTTATCTTCTGCCAAATTACTTGGCTCCCCTCTGAAAAAGTTGTAAACAAGATTTTGGCATTCTAGAAAGCCTGCTGAGCCCCTGAAAAGAAAATATTCCTAATAATGAAGGCTTAATTACATCCTGGATTTAATACCCCCTAAAAGGAGCTTGAAAGTTGGAAACGTGTGAGCATATGTTTATCTGAAAGCTATTTCTGAGCAAGGATAAAGTATATAAATACAATAACAAAGTAAAGAACAAACTAGCTATTTTATGCAATAATCTTCTTGTCAATCTCTCCAGAAACTGAGGTTCCAGCTGGTGGCAGAAATAGATCTGGGGTTGTTGGAGCTTTTTATGCTTCTGCTTTTATTTTTTGTTTTTAAATAAACAACTTCCACCCAGTCAAACTATGTCTGGAACTGGAAATAAAGTTTCTAACTCTAAGCCTTCGGATTCTGGCTCAGCCCTCAAGTAAGAGTAGTGGGGGGAGAGGGCCAAAAAAAAAAAACCTACCTAAAGAGAGGCAAACAGTTTATGCATGGAATTAAATGTCAGCCGTGAGAGGATGGGATTGGAAACCGAATCAGGAGGGACCTTCCAATCCCATGCATCAGCTTTTGCTTGTCAGTTATGTTTTTCTTTTGAGTGCTTCAAGAGAACTCTTGAGGATGCAAGAAAATCCATGTAGTCTTTAGCGTAAGCAGTCGGTCTGCCCTCAAGTTATCAGTGGCCCACTGGGGTGTATAATTGCTAACTTTCAACTAAAAGATTCAAAGTTTAGCCTTTAAAACAGATCTGGCTTTCTCTTTCTATTTTCGCTGGAGTGTGTGAAGCTTTTGTTAACTTCAGTAAGAGGGACCAAAGAACATTGACCCATTTTTGTCTAGGACTCCCAATATGGTCTTAAAATCCTTGTTTCTGTTGGTTAGGTTTGAAACTTTTAGGCTTGATAGCACAGTCTGGAATTTCTGTAAATGGAAGTTTTCTTCAACTTGAAAGAGAAGTTCTTCATAGCATTTATTTGTAGATTGGTGCTTGTCCTTAATAGCGTCTCTTCTGCTGCTGAGTGGTTGTGTTTTGAGAGAAGAATAAAGAACAGAAAATTTCAGAATAATAGGCCTTTCCTAGCTACATCTCCTTGGTCATCTCTTGTGCTCAGGACACTCAGCTGTCTCTGAATCCATCACTGGAGTGTGTAATCAGAGCTGCCAGCCAGTGTTGCCTACTGAAAAATTGCGTTTTGAAAAATCTTTGGACTGACTTGTGTGTTCACAACCAAATGAAATTGATTAAGCTGTGAGTATTTATCACTTTCATTTTCCATTCTGTAAACTTGTGAGATTTCCTGCGTGAATGGGAATGTCTGACCTTTTCCGTTGCTGTCTTTCTCAATAGCTGTATGTACCACCTTCTTCAGTGTTACAGACTGCTAATGGTTGATTCATAGACCACAGGCTAGATTGTATCCCTTGTATCCCATGTGATTCCCCCACCCCCACCATGTGGTCTGAAGTCTGTTAAGAGGGAGAATTGAGGTTAATGCATGAAATAGAATGAACTAAGCAAAAATATTTCTGAGAAGTGTATTTATTTCTAAGATCCATGTTATTTACCGACCATGTATTTGTTCTCTTCACGAAGATAGCAGAGGTCTTTTTTTGTAATTTGTTTTTGTTAGTGTCCCATTCTTTACGTTTCAGGAAAAATTTAAAAATGCTTATGAATGTTCTCTCCATGCAATATTGTACCTATGCGTATATGTGGGGGGAATCATTCCTTATCATCATATGTTACTAGTGTTGTGTATAAAATGTAACTTGACTGAGGCCAAAATTACCATGATCCATTTTTTTTTCCAAAGCTGTCATTTAATGTAGTAAATTTTATATGTGGTTTATATACTATGTCATTAATAAAAGTGCTTGCATAGATATATGTACTGCATCTATAGCTTCAATAGTTGAGTTATACCCTCATAGCATAGTGATTTTTCCTCCTTTGCTTTGGAGAAACTCTGTGAAGAAAAGAAAGTGCTGCTAACACCTGAAACAGAACAATCCAAAAAGTCAGCTCTTTAAGGTTAGGGCAAATATTGTTCTAGTAAAGCACCCAGCTCTAGAGAGATTTTCTGGGAAGAGGAGGTGGGGCAACTTTATGAAAAGAATACAAATAAGACATTGCAAAACATTCAGTTATGGCCCAACTTTTGTTTGTAGAACTGGAGTTGCCTTCTGTGGAAGCACAGTAAGACCCTTGTGAACACCCTGCATGGGTTCTTTCATTTGTCCTCAAACAAATGTTTAGCCCTGATTCCCAGGATGTGAGCTGGGAGCTGAGTGAGTTTGGGGAACCTGCTTCAAAGAGAGGTTTTTACTTCCCATTTCCACAAAAAAAGAGCTGTGGTTAGCTCTGAGCTATTTTTATATGAGAGACTCTCCACGAAATGAGGTTGCAGGTGTTGCAGAGCACAGGAAATGCAAGCCTTTTATTCCCCTGTGGTAGAATAACACTAGCATCCGGCCAAAGTTGTGTAGGACAGAGGGATGAATTTTCAGATGGGCTCTTTCTTTTACTGCCAGAAATAAAGTGTTTCTGTGAAAGCTGTAGGCTATATCCTCATTTAGTGTTGTAATTTAAACTTTCCCACAGTTGGAAAGGAACGATCTCAGCAAATTACTACTGCATTGAAGGTCGTTCTTTGGCAGACAGTCTGTCTTTCTTGAAGGAAAACACTAGAAACCTCACTAGGTAAGTGAGGCCATCCTGGCTTAATGAATCAAAGCTGTTCTGGAGGGAAAATCCTTTTTGTTTCTAAAACTGAGGGAGGCCCTGTATATCCAGAACTAACAAGTGTCATTCCTTCCAGAAAGTGGTGCAGTTTGCACCTGGATTAAGTACACAGGCGCCTAACAATCCAGCTGGTTCCTATGCTGAAAAGGCTGCTCAGAAGCTTACTGGATTTCCTCCCTGCTGTACGTCAGCACAATGAGCCAGCCTTATCTGACCATGTTCAAAATCCATATTTAACTCTTCAGTTAAACAGCATCTTTCAGAAGACAAAACAATAATATCCTGAACTTTGTGGAATGTCCTTCAGCAGTCATGCGTCAATTAAAAAAAAGCTAACTACTGGCAATGTGTAGACATAGTTGCTAATTGGTGAGGCTGTTCAATACTTCTTTAATAATAGGCATAGCCAGAATTTAGCCTCTAAGATACTAATTTCCAGGAGGCCTCCACGTTCTGTCTTGAGGTGACCTGACCATTGCGTATCATCTTGAAATGAGTCGGACCCGAGGTGCCATGGTTTCATTCCAAGTGAATTGGAGACAAGTGAAGATATTGCGCAGGCAGAGGGCAGGCAACAGCATTTTAATTTCTGATCCAGTCTATGGAAAGTACACTGAAAATATGTTCTTCCTGCCTCTCTGACGCAGTCATTCGTTGAAAAGCGTTTTTCCCATAAACTGATTCTGCTTATAACAATGCTTAGGCTATTAAAAAAAGTTGTAAATAGTATTAAAGGTGCATTGTCAAAATTGTGGCCTGGTGTTAGAAGCTGTAGAAATGTCAGAAACAGGAATCTACAAAAGCTATAAAGTCTGGGTGGACTGAAAAATATGCATCATGAAAGAAATAGGTTTAAAAAAAAATCTGCTCAAAGACACCTCTCCTGAGCCCAGAAGTGCTGTCACTGTGGCTGTAGTTCAGCTGCTCAGTTTATCAGCTTCATAGAAGAGGCAGTGAATGTGCATCCTAGTGAGTTGATTTTAAAATGGAAATATGTAATTAGAAGCCCTCTTTTTCCCAAGCCTAAGTGACTTTTTCTTATTGTTTTCACTCTCTTAGTATTCTATCTGCGCTTCTGTGTGCCTTCTGAAAAAGCAACTTATAAAAGTTATGTGAAAAATAGTCTCAGATGAGACTCAGTCAGTTGAGTAAAATATTATTGGCATTATTGGACATAGCAGCTGGAAGGAAATGGCTTGCCTAAGTCGGACTGAACATACAGAGAGAGAATGAGATCTTGGGATGATCGTTTTCAATTCAGGGGTTCCTTAATGGAGAATTTGACTTTTGCCCTAGGAAATGGTTTTGAAATTTATTTCTTCAGTTGACTTCTAGGAGCAAAATTGAATTTCAGTTTCAGACTCGTGCATCTGCTCTGCTCTGCTCTGCTCTCAAAAGCGACGTAAGGAATTACTAAACCCTGATCCTTGATGAGCAGCATGACTGAGGGTCTGAGCGCAGGCTGAGGCGGTGGGTATCTGCCAGGAGTTCCAACCCCGGCTCTTAGAGCACTGTGGGAATTGCTGGGGAAAATCTCACAGAATTATTCAAGACTTCCAAAGTTTTCCCAGTCTGTGCTGGGTTGACCCAGAAACTTCTCAATTTTTTTTTTCCAAATAAGGGAATCCTAAAGCTGCTCATCTGTCGATCAGTGATCTGGATAAGGTAGACTAGGGACCACAGGCGCATGCAAAGTTACTTACAATATCGCAGATTAAATTTTCCAACTAATGCCAAGGGAAAAATAAATCTGAAATGTAGCAGCAGGCTGTCTAAGCCTGCATGTATTGTTTTTCTCCATTAATTCCTTGGAATGTAACGTGATTTCCTCCTTCGTCCTCTACTTCTGAATAAACTTAGAGCCCCTAGAAGCCTACATCCTGTGCTGAACAAAGAAACAACGTCCCGCTTAGGTGAGGGTGAATCACCTTTGGTTGATTAATTGGCTCCACAGAACTTCAGTGAGTATATGTTGTGCTCCCAGAGAACGACTGAAATTCACTCAGGGGCCTCTGGATGTGACTTCTTGCACAGATAGTAGTTACAATAAGTCCATGCAGCATGTAAGTGCCAGTGACAAATTGGCTCTCAAATTGGTAAGTGAGTAAGGTTTTTGCTGTCTTGACTCCCTAAGTTGGGGAAGATGTACTCCTTTAAAGAGCTTATGAGTCAAAAGAGGGCTAATGCTTAAAGGCTAAAAATGCTATGCTTTCTCCTTTTGTCACTGCTTCACAAAAGCTTTAAAAGGGTGGAGATGCCCTCAGAGGTTCAGAAACTTGACAAAGTTACCAAACTGTAACCTGTCAGTTACAGGAGAGCTGGAGGTCCATTGGCTTTTGGGGGGCAAAGAAGTGTGCTGGCCGTGATTTTTTGTGGAGTACTTCACCTCTGTGTGAATCTCACTGGAGCTGAGATGTTTGAATGTGTTGAGAGGATGCAGAGCATTATCAGTCCTTCCTGAACTCTGCGGCTTGAACGATCACACTTGTGACGTGCTTGTTTATCACTCCAAAGTCAGAAAATGCTCGATAGGCTTCTTGATTTTGCTGGTTACCTCTGAAAATGAAAATAATTCACATGACAGCAAATAGTGAAGATGACACTTTGCTCCAAATGACTATAATTCCCTCAAGAGCTTTACTTTTTTAAATTGCAGCAAGATTTGTGTTCAGATCACAACAGTTGAACTTTACTCTCAGTTAGGGGCACTTCTGCAGTGTTTTGACTGCTGTTCACTCGTCGTTCACTACAGAGGGGGAATCTTAATGTGCAGATCCCTGACTTTCAGGGAAGCCTGAAGCGATTCTTTAGATCAAAAGTTGCTTGATGAAATCATCAGTACTGTGATACCTTGTTCTACTATGGTTCTGAGAACAATGAAGCCTGGATTCCTCTCTGTGCAGATTTCACAAAGCGCCTACATTTCAAGGGGTTGTGGTTTCTAAACTTTTGTGCTCTTGCTGAGCAGCTTATATAACTTGAGCATTTTTTCGGTATACTTTCAAGAGGCAATGTGTTTGAGGAACTTCGATAAATAAGGACAAAATTTGTTCAGAGTGTTTCCTAACCAGCATGGACCTCTGTTTCTAGAGGGCATCGGGGATCCCATAGCAGAACTACACTGCTTAATCAATTTTTAAACAGCACCAGCTCTTACGGTTTGTGCTTCTGATCTTATGCAAGCTTTGTTTCTGTTGCAGTGCACTCCTCCCTTGATGTGGGCAGCAACAACTCAGTAGTCAAACATAGCTGCTCACTCTGTGATCAAGGTAAGTCCAGACCCTCATCTTTGCTGCCAGCCACCTGTAGCTCCCGTGTAGCAAGGGCTGCAACAGGCTGACAATTGCTGAAATGAGATCCTCTTTCTGAGCAGCAGATCATTTGTTTAGCAGTTGCCCTTCTTTGTTAGCTGCATTTTTATTATGCATCATCCCTTCCCCCCCAAAAAGTAGTTGTGTTGGGTAGTTTAAACTGCCCTCTGACTGCTAAAGGTTCAAGAGGAAATAAGCAGTCAGAAAAAGGTGGTTTGAGTAGATTTGTGGAAGGTTAAGCTAGTATTTCCTTGTTTTTATAAGCAGATCTTGCAATGGAGGTAGAATCGTGTGATACGCTGGCTAGTAAGACCTTCACAGCAAACGATATTAAGGTTAATATTTTCTCAAGCTGCAGCAATATTGGGGCTGAAACCTTGGAACATGACTGGAAGAGTTAGGCAGGCTAATAGGGACAATAATGTTGTACCAGTCAGCAACAACAGTTTCAGCTGTGTCTGATGCTATCAGTTGTAAATCAGAATAAGGTTACTATAATAAACACAGAAGAGGAAGGGCCAGCGATGGTGCTGTCAGCAAAGAATCAGGCCAAGTAGAACATGCTGAACTTTGTGGGGAGATGGAAGGAGAAAACTTGCAAAAAAATTTTGGGCCTGATTTATAAGCTTTCCCTGACACTTGGGCTTTTAGGCTGGAAATCTTGCTTGTTGGATTAGACGGAGATCAAGTGGAGCTCATTTAACAGTGTTTTTTTTAGATAGATTTGCTTACGATTTGTGGCAGTAAAATTATTGCAGGAGGTCCCAGACTTACTCAAGCAGAAATCAATAGACGTTACTGATGTTCTTTGTAGCGAAAATCAAAGCATCTGATGGCTGTGTT